AGCAAAGGAAGCAAAGTTTCCTTACTTTAGCAGAGGAAAACCAGTCTCCTCTTGGCTTATATCGAAATCCTCCGACATTCTTCTTTATAAATCCTTGTTTTGTACTTCTAATTCGTGACCGTTGTTTTGTTTTGATCTCTCCCCTGCGCTTCCGCGTTCGTCATTTCTGAGCGGCGCATGCGCAAAGCCGATCTCATACGTCATCCGCCCAGAGCTGCTTCCATGTAGGACTGTTGGCGCAAGCTACATTAAAGTGATTATTACGTTTTGAATATGGATATTTTTCTTACAAAAACGCATCGATTCGCTACAGGAGGCCTTTGTTCAACCCCCGGAGCCGTGTGAGACATTTGTTTTATGTAAGGGCGCTTTTTATTTAACTTCTTTTGGACTGATGCATGCAACACCCGCTGAGTGGCATTAAACAGCTTGAAAGATCAAAGACAATTTTTAATATAACTCCGACTGGATTCGTCTGAAAGAAGAAAGTCATATACACCTAGGATGACTTGAGGGTGAGTAATTTGTGGGCTAATTTTCATTTTTGGGTGAACTAACCCTTAACTAGCGATTTTTTTTTTTTTTTAAGCAAACATTTCTTTGAAGAACCGTAAATATAAACACAAGATTGAATGCGCGAAACATAGGGGTAGGGGAAAGTTTAGGGGTAAAGGGTAGAAATGGGATTGGGCCAAAGACCAAATCTGGGATTAAAAATCTAAACCTGGAAATTATTGAAAGTTTAAAAAGGTAAAAAATAAACATTGACGCAAAATGAATGAGCTACATTTAATATTCTGCAAGCAAAATATTTCCCATCAGTGCTCTCTGGCTATAATATTTTATTGAGTATATATTTTGCTGCACTTACCTAATAATAACCATGAATCTTTCATATCTTTGCAGTGGGAGTTTTCGCATTTTTGGGTTTTATTCAGATGACTATATGGGCTCGGGCAAAGCATAAAACCTACACTGAGCAATTCAAATACTATCCTGACCTGAGAACAGCCATCATTCCACTCTTCTTCTAGATCGATTGGATGGAGGATGAACCTACACGCACTTTTCTCATTGGATGCGTCACCAAACATCATATTATAAGCAAGAAAATAAGTGTTTCTCTGTCAGACCTTGTGATTTATTCAGACACAGTTCAGATTGTGATAGTGTCTGAAGTGTGAAATGGTAATTACTATTAATTACATTCATTATGAAGAGAGGCTTACTGAGAATAGATCGAGGCTGTACTGCAAGTTTGAGGAAGATAAAATAACAGAAACTTCTTGCAAAAAGGAGGGGTTTTTTTAAGGGAGGTGTATTTTTTGGCAAACTTAAACATTTGCTTGACATCAAAGAGTGTAAGTTGAGTCCCAAATGTGAAGGTCTGCAGACCACCAAGCAGAAAAAAAAGGTGTACAATGTGATTTTATTGATGTTGATTGTTCATTTTTGTATTCCATTAAAACATTTTGCAGAACATATCAGTGTTTGTGTCATAAAGAAAATGTTACTGAAGATTTTATTTCCCAGAAATAAGTGATCGTCAGTTTCCAAATGTCAGTATTTTCAAGACATGGTAAAACAAACTTATAGAATAGTGTTTTGTCATTGAAAGCTGTATTATTGCATATTAAAACTATTTGCTTAAATATTCACTAATGAATACATTTAAAGCTCTTCATTCCCCCAAAAAGACACATATCCTTCCCGATTTTCATTGTCTACACCACGAGGTCAAGGTTTGCCTGGTTCACATGGTCAAGTTAGCCTGTTGCCATAATTACATCATCATTGTGTATTCACCTTCACTCTATGCAAAAATACCAAAAAAATAAAAAACACCTGCAAGCCAAGCATTATACTACAAAGTGAGCGCCAGCCAGCTGACCCTGAGAAATGGTAACAATAAAAAGTAACTTTGATGGAATAATGCAGTGATGCTGCAAATTTGCAGAAGTTTCAGGTTCAGATTATAGATTTCTAATTCATTTGAGTTTATGCTTTTGATGTTTAAGCAGTACAAAAGTAATATATTAATGTGTTACATTAGAATTAAGCATTTCATTGCGTGTGCATTCACAGGCACTGCTGTAACAGATGTGCTTTGGTTCAGCATTTCAAAGATTTGTACAGCAAAACAAGCAGAACTGCAATTGCAAGAAAGAAAAACACTAATATTTACAAATGTATAAACATAATAAACACATTTCAAATTGCATGGAAGTTTTGTATGTGGAAACTGAATATTTTTTAAGAGTTTTATACAAATACTTTTACTGGGCTGCATCAAATCACCAGTAATAAAGGGATAGTTCACACAAAAATCATTTACTCACCCTCACGTCTTTCCAAACATGTATTACTTTTTTTTTTTCCTGCTAAACACAAACGAAGATATTTTGAAGAACGTTGGTAACCAAACAATTTTGGTTCCATTTGATTTTCATTTGATTTTTTGTTCATATAATGGAAGTCAATGGGAACCAAAACTGTTTGATTACTAACATTCTTCACAATATCTTGTCATAGGTTTGGAACGACATGAGGGTGAGTAAATGATGACAGAATTTTCATTTTTGGATGGACTATCCCTTTGATATGTGGAGGTTTTTCTTTTCAGTTGGTGGAGATTGACCTTTGGCTCGAAGTGCTATAGACTGAGGGCAGATGTTGAAAAATGTTATATATTAATGAAAAAATCTGACATTTTTAAAACCTAAAATAGATGCAGCAGGTTTTGTGTATAAATACATATATAAAAGGCTTTAGGAACTCCATAAACAACATGGTGTAATGTGCTGTCAGCCATGAGTCCTTTTGAAGCATATGAGTCCATTTTAACTGTTTTTCGTCGCATCTCTTTGTAGCGGCGAGACCTTTTTTTCTCGTCTCGGCACTGATGCTCTGAGCTGAGTGTCATCCTCTACTGACTGCTGCTTGGCGAAACTCACAAACACCTGTAAGGCAGTGAAACATATGAGCTGTTAGTCCTGTCAGTCACATCTGCTGAGCAAATTTAATTCAATTTCAGCATGGGAATTTCAACCAATAATTCATTTCTAATGGAAGGTCCCTAGAGCACAGCATGTCAATTTTACAGCATCAAGCAATTTTTCTTGTCTGCAGTAAAAAGTGAAATGCTAAAAGTCTTAACATGCTGCTGATAGCTGGTATGGATTGACGTGAAAGAGATTTGTTGCTTGAAGCTTTAGCACATCGCACCTGCTAATGACGTGATGGTGATGGTGAAGTTACCTGGTCTAATGTGGTCTGAGACACAGAGTAGTCCTCAATGTTCAGTCTCTCTTTGTTGGTCAACACCAGCTGGAAGACTCGTGCCAGTGAGGCGGCGACGATTTCGTATTGTAAAGTGTTGTAGTGTTTCTCTCGTTGTATACATCCTGGGAAGCTGCTTTCCATGAATGACTCGGCTGGGACCAGATCAGGAGGTATGCCTGCTTTTTCAGCTTTGATCTTCATCGTGACTACATAGCCACCTCCAAACCTGTCCGCAAGCACAATCAATATGTCTAATACATGATCGACAAAACAAGTGCAAGCTTGATTTTACATTTAATGGATTAAAGTTGTTTTGCATACCACCTTTGGAAGTTGAGAATTTAAGGCAGGAAGAACAATGAAGTTGATTTGTGGTAATGTGGGAATGGCATCCTTGAAATTAATACTTAAAAAAAAAAAATAATAAAAATAATACTTTCCAAACATACTCACTTGTATTTCAGATGCTGGATTCTGCCCAGACACTTAAACGTCCCATTAACCATGATGGCCAAGCGAGTACAAAGAGCTTCACACTCTTCCATACTGTAAATGCAAAAAAAAAAAAAAAAGTAAATAAATACATCATTTTAATTTTCATTTAAGAAAATAATGAATAATACATTAAAATAAATAATTATAAATATTTGGACACATAAAAAATAAAATAATATTTAATTTTTATTAAAATAATAATGATAAATAATTTAAAATAAATAATTATTTATTAAAGATAATACCTGAGACATTTAAGTCACTAAAAAACTATGAACATCATTGCAATCACACAGGGGGTTCCCAGCTGAACCACTTAGATATAGTATATATATATATATATTACTTGATTTTACGTAAATATTTCAATAATTTGACAACACATTTGTATAATGTCCACAGTTCTCTGGTGTAGGTTAATGGCATGCAAGTATACAGATAAAATAATATTTATAGTAAGTGTTTAATTTAAAAAATATATACAATTATTTTAAAATTGTACGACTTAAAAAAATATGATGTGATTATTTCATGATTGTGAATTTGAACTGTAATAAGACATTTTATTTTATGTAAATGTCTCATATTGCTACTGATTTACTTTATCTACTGTTAACTGAGCCTCTTTAAAAACACTTTATTATAAGCGTGTAAATACATTGACTAATGTCCACAGTTCTCTGGTGTAGGTTAATGGCATGCAAGTATACAGATAAAATAATATTTATAGTAAGTGTTTAATTTAAAAAATATATACAATTATTTTAAAATTGTACGACTTAAAAAAATATGATGTGATTATTTCATGATTGTGAATTTGAACTGTAATAAGACAGTTTATTTTATGTAAATGTCTCATATTGCTACTGATTTACTTTATCTACTGTGAACTGAGCCTCTTTAAAAACACTGTATTATAAGCGTGTAAATACATTGACACGCTACACTCTAAAACACACCCTACCTGACTATATACTTCTTTAATTTTTAAATAGCAACCTTTTATTTGAAAATTGTGATTTAATAAGATATATCACTATTTCAGTTTTATTTTGATTAATAGTGCAGCCATTTGTGGATTTTAATGTTACATTTGATTTAATTCATTATTAGCTTATAACTCACAAACTCCCTGCAGTTTGCTCACAAACACCCAGTTATTAATGAACCCTCTTTGGGAAACCCTGCATTAACTTTAAATTCTTGCCTGTGAGACGTCAAAACGACTGCCCTCCCATCACGGATGATACTCAGAATGGCGGTCCACAGGAAGCGACGGAAGTGAGGGTCCATTCCTGTGGTGGGCTCATCCTACATCCATTTACAGGGTTAAATTATACCAATGTTTTTTGTTTCGTACAATGACATTAAGAACACTTAGGAAAAACATACCAGGAGCACTAGAGGAGGACAGCCAATCATAGCAATAGCAGTAGACAGCTTCCTCTTGTTGCCCCCGCTGTAGGTACCAGCACAGTTTCCTGCATATTCAGACAAACCCAGCTTCTGAATGCCCCACTCTGCCACCTACAGAAAACATACAATCATACAGTACACAATAATAATGATTGTAACAGAATGCATATCAGTTAACAGAACATACTGTAGTTGCTTGTGTAAAAAATGAAGTGTGGAAAGGCTGTGTACTATTGTGTGTGTCATGTGTGCTGTGGTGGAAGTTTTTGTTGGAGAGTGAAACGTTTTCTTTAAAAAGTGGTAATGGTATTGTTATAAGCATTTTTAGGATTTGATGCTCTCAAAATAATATGCTTAAGTTGTAACCTGAAATGCTGATATGTCTTGAGCATGCTTATGCTTCCAGTAAGGTCAAGGATAATTTTATACAACATGCCTCAGAAAGAACTGGAATGAGTATGTGCTATAATTCCAGTGGCCACGCTAAGGCCATGCACCAACTGTATCTTTATCACATGAGTGATTAAACTGGGAAAACTGTCAGCTGCAAGTGAGGCCAGTATGAGTGTAATCTGTAGAACACTGTAAAGCATGCGCAAGTCTTATGCAACTTGGTTATTTTAAACATGATCATCAAGGTTTTTTTCTTGTTGCTTTAATGTTTCTGAAGCGACTCCCTGCCTGCCACTAATAAATCTTATTACTGAAAAAAGTAATTTGGGAGTGCTGTCTTGATGCTGCACAGCTAAGGAAGGGAAGGAAGGCACTGAAGAATCTAGCACACACATTGGAAGTGTCTTCTTGGATGGGACGCCGTGCCCTGGGTGGTTAGAATACACTATAGGCAACAGAGTTTCCAAGCACCTATAAAGGAATAGCTCACCCAAAATTGAAAGTGTACTCACCCATGGGCCCAGTACCGTCGCAAGGGCTGTGCCAAGTGTGCTACCGCACAGGGTCTCGTGCCTGAGTAAAACATGGGCTAATTTTCATTTTTGGGTGAACTAACCCTTTAAGTGCTGCAAAGAAGAAAATAAATACAGGCCATCAGTACCGTCGCAAGGGCTGTGCCAAGTGTGCGAACGCACAGGGCCTAGCTCCTGGCCTGCATTTTATGTCGTTTATGTCTAATTTCTATTACTGTTTTTCCACCCATTTTGTCCTTTGAAAGACTAAAATAGTCATAGCTGATAGACAGTATAAGACTCTGTGTATAAGAATGAGTAAAGGTGTTTGTTGTTAGGATGACAAAAAGTTTTAAAAGTTAAACTTTTAGGCCGGTCTGCCTCAGTGGTCCAACAGTGCTCATCAATGTCAAAATGATCGAGATGGCCAATCAAATCAAAGAAGGCGGGGTCTTACTGTCACTGTCACAATGCAACGAGAGTTCGTGGAAAGATATAAGTAGTACTGTATTAGAAAACTGTTTTACGATAGAAATGTGCAGTGACCGACAGTAATAGACTATCTAGTGATGCAAACTACTCAACTTTTTATGACATTTCGCCGTTTTGAATTGATAATATCATGCGATCATGATTCATGTAAATCATAAATGAACGTGACAAGAGACGTTTGCGTTTTTGACTATTAGACATACGAATAACAGTGAATGTGCACATTTTAAAATAAA